CGAACGCGCGCGCGCGTTCGCCGAGGCGGCGACGGCGCCGAGGAAAGTCGATTTGCTCGCTCCGGCCAGGGAGAAAGGAGGTGCACATAGAGAAGCGGCAGGAGGATGAGGAGAGGGGGCAGGGCTAGAGGGAGGGCGATGATGAGGAGGAGGTGGAGAAGGAGGAGGAGGATATATAAAAAGGAGGACGAAGAGGAGAGAACATGACACAGCGCGAGAGGAGGATGTCCGCCCGGGCGACGGGGGAACAGGGCTAAGGGTAAGCCAAACAGATTTCCGGTGGGGTCTTGCAGGCGGAGTAATTTTGATGAGGATGACCATGATGATACGTATGACGATGATGCCGATGACGAGGATGATGGTGATGGTGGTGGTGGTGATGCTGGTGATGGTGATGCAGATGACGATTATTGTGGTTGTGATGATGATGGTGATGCTGATGATTATGCTCGTGCTGGTGGTGATTATGATGTTGCTGTGGAAGCGAATGGGTGGCTATGGTTATGATGGTGCCGGTGGTTATGAAAATGATGATGAGGATACATATGAGGATTTCTGGGGAGGATGAACACCAGGACGATGCTGATGATGCTGATGATGTTGCTGTTGATGTTGATGTTGATGATGGTGCTGATGATGATGGTGCTGATGGTGATGGTGGTGGTGTTGGTGATGGTGGTGGTTGTGATTCTGGTGATGGTGATGCGGATGCCGATGCTTGTGGTGGGTTGATGATGATGGTTGTGGTGGCGGTGATGATGATACTGATAATGTTTATGCGGATGAAAATGATGACAAGGGTGCTGTGGCTGATGATTTTGTTGATGCTTTTGCTGATGCCGCTGCTGCTAATGGTCATGATGATAATGATGATGATGTGGATGCTGCTGCTGATGACCAGGGTGACGATGATGATGATGGCGATGATGAGTATGATGATGATCATACTTATGCTGATGCTGCGGCTGATGCTGATGGTTGACGATCATGATGGTGGTGGTGGTGATGGTGGTGGTGATGATGATGGTAGTGATTATGAAGAGGAGGAAGAGGAATATGACCAGTATAAACCACGACGCATCAACGATATTGCAATCAACCCTCCCTCCAGGTTCCCTTTCCATAGGTCCGCTAACAACGTATTCTTGACGCTTCGCGTACCCCCACCAGCTAATTTAGTGCGCTGCTCGTTAGTCGCGTTTCGAGTTGACGCCGAACGATTCGTCGTTGCGGTCGCGATCGAATCAAAAAAACACCCCCACCAACCTATCCAGAAACGATGCCCGGGCGAGTTGCCGTGATGGGGATGTGGAGGGGCATGCAGTGAAATCAAGGACTGGGAAAGCAGTCGCATTACAAAAGGGGAAGGATGGAACAGTATTCGGAGGAGGAGGAAGAGGAGGAGGAGGAGGAGGAGGAGGAGGAGGAGGAGGACGAGGAGGAGGAGGAGGAGAGGAGGAGGAGGAAGAAGAGGAGTGGAGGAGGAGGGGGAGGAGGGAACATGGAGGAGGAGGAGGAGGAGGAGGAGGAGGAGGAGGAGGAGGAGGAGGAGAAGGGCAAGCAGAAAGGCCAGAGGTCTTTGATGCCGCTCGGAGTCCCTTCGGGTGTTTCTTGGTACCTTCTTGGAGGCCTCTTGGTGCGTCCTGGGGGCTTTTTGGCGGTCGCGGGTCTCTCTTGGCGGTCGCGGGTCTCTCTTGGAGCGTCTTGGGTGCCTCGGGGGGACCTTTGGTGGGGGCCTCTCGTGGCCTCCTGGGGGCCTCTTGGGACCCTCTCGGGGTACGCATGGGAGCCTCGGAGGCCGTCTTGGGGCCATCCTGGAGGCGCTCGATCAAGGAAGGCGGCGCACGCGATTCGCGTTGCCCCCCCCTCCCCAGGAGGCCAACGTGGGCCCCCCAAGCCCAGGCAGAGTCAGTGCTTTTGGCCCTCTCGCCGAGGCCGTCTTGGGCGCCCCCAAACCGCCCGCGGGCCGCCCCCATCCAGGCCCAGGGGGGTTGAGGGGTGCGGGGGGGCGGGGGGGCTCCTCCCCCGGAGGGGAAGAAGGGGGGTTTGGAAGGGGAAGCGCGCTATCTGGACGCCCGAACTGGGTACGGAAAGAATGGGTACAGTGCCCAACAGCAGTTCCTGTTCATCTGAACCGGATTCGCTGTCCACGCCGCCGCGGCCTGTGTCCATTCGAGGCAGAAGGCCGCCTGCCCAACAGCGGCCGCTGTTGGTTTGGGACATTATTTGCTGTTGGGCATTGTACCCATTTTTTCCGTACCCATTTCGGGCGTCCAGACTCTAAACCGCTCGGCGACTACCCAGGTTATGGTTACGCCGGGGCGCGGTTTGCGATCGGCACCGTTGGGGCCCGGGGGGCATGACGCTGTCCTCGTCGGGCCCCCTCGGGGCGCGGGAGAATTCTACCGAGGTCGCCGCGCACCCCCTAGGGTACCCCCAGGATGTTCGCCAGGGTGCCGGTTGCAAACCACACCCTTTGCAAACCATGCCCTCTGGAGTCGCCGAACCACACTGCCTGACGGGCTGGTCGGATTTTCATTGCGGGAAGTGGCTCATTATAATATTACCGTTTGAGGATCCCCAATCGTGCCAGAACACCGTTCCTGGGTTTCAGCGCCGCGGATCAACTTGACTGCTGCGTCTTGACAGTCCTAAATCGTACGATGACGCCGTTCCTGGAACTGCACCACCGCGAAGCAACGTGACCTGATGGTCGTCCATCGTGCCTGAACACCATTCTTGAGACTTCGACACTGCGAGACTTTAAAGCTGTGGCGAACTTTTCAGACGAATCTGCGCGGCGCTAAAGCGAGAAAAGCATTTTGATAAGGATTCGCCCTCCATCCTGGAAGCTGTTGCAAACGAATGTGCGCGGCGCTCAGGCGAGAGTGCATTTTGAAAGCGATCCACCGTCCTTCCGTGCAGCTGGTGGCCTCTTTGAAGACGAATGCGCGCGGCGCTAGGACGAGAGCCACATTTAAAAAACGACCCGCCCTCGATCAGCGAAACGGGTGCAAACTTGTAAGACCAACGCGCGCGGAGCTAAGGCGATAGTTCTATCTTGAAAACCACGGGTCCTCCGCCTGTGAAGCTGTTGCGAATTTTTAGCTTCAGGATCGTAAGTAGCGAGAGAGTCTTAGGTGGAACGCCCGGCCCGTCCTACGGACACGTCTGGGGGTGCGACAGGGAGGAGTTTTCAGAAGGACAAGGGACGGCGGAGGAGGAGGAGGAGGAGGAGGAGGAGGAGGAGGAGGAGGAGGAGGAGGAGGAGGAGGAGGAGGAGGATTAGGAGGAGGATTAGGACGAGGAGGAGGATGAGGATGAGGAGGAGGAGGAGGAGGAGGAAGAGGAGGAGGAGGCGGAGGAGGAGGAGGAGGCGGAGGAGGAGGTGCAGGAGGAGGAGGAGAAGGAAGAGCACGAGGAGGAGGAGGAGGAGGAGGAGGAGGAGGAGGAGGAGGAGGAGGAGGAGGAGGAGGAGGAGGAGGAAGGCCGTCACGTGTGACACCTTTCGACTTCACTTTTTGAGGAGCTCTCATGGAGCTCATTTGGGCCGTCTTGCGGCTGTCTTGGGCCCCTGAGGGGCAGTCTTGGGGGCCCCGTGGGGCCGTCTTAGGGTCCTCTTGGGCCGTCTTGAGACCCTTTAGGCTGGCTCGGGGCTTTTTTTTTGCCGTTTTGGGGCCCTCTTGGCTGTATGGGGTACGTCTTCAGGCCGTCGTAGGACAGTCTTGGCGCCGTCTTTGGCCGTCAAAGGGTTTAATGATGCTGTTGTGGGTCTCTCTCTCGAGGCCCTCTTGGACCGTCTTGTGTCCGTCTTGGAGCCCTCTTGGGCCATCATGGAGTCCTCTTGGGCAGTCTTGAGACCCAAATAGGGGCCTCTTGGGCCGTGTTAGGGCCATAGTGGAGGCTTCTTGGGTATTCTTGAGCTGACGAGAGCTCAAACAGGCGAGAACGCGAACACATTTCAGGAGCATGTGGAAACTCAATGATTTTGACTTCTTCTGACTCAGTTGTGGGTTCTCGTGTGGCCCTCTTGGAGGCATCTTGGGCCGTCTTGAGGCCATTTTGGGCCGCTTCGGGGCCGTCTTGGAGGCATCTTGGGCCTTCTTAGCTGCCTTGGTTGCCTGCCTGGGCCGTCTTGGACGCTTGGGAGCGCGGAAACATTGTTTTCGGCGAGGGACCGTGGCCTCGGGAGCGCGGCTCCGGCGTTTTTTTACGAAGGATCGTGGCCTCGTGGAGGGGGGTCGATGCATGCAACTAGCGCGGAAAGACGGATGTGGCCCTTCGATGACATAAACCCTACCGGACAGCCCTTGGGATTCTATCCTGCCTCAACGTGCCTGGGGTCTCGGTGCCGTATTCCCACACACCTTGCATTTGATGTATTATCAGCGCGGCACACGTGCGAGCTCGATGTTCCCTCCACTCTTTTCGCACTGCAGGCTCAAGGCGAAGATGTGTCGTATGCGAACATACGTGTGCGCATGCCATGCAGGTGACGATGTAGCATCTGGACTTCAACGGGTCGCCTTGGGTCAGGTCGTCTAAGGAAGGCGAGGTGGATCGAGGAGGGATGCGAAGGATGATGAATGAGAAGGTGAACAGGGAGGGGAGGAGGAGAAGGACTAGGAAGATAAAAAAAACGATGATGATGAGGAGGAGGATGAGGAGGAGAAGGGAGGAGGATGAGGAGGAGATGGAGGAGGAGAAGGAGGAGGAGGAGGAGGAGGAGGAGGGGAGGAGGAGGAGGAGGAGCATCAGCACAGGTGTTTTTTTTTTCCCCCCCGGTCGAGGAGTCTAACTCGGGGAGGGGTGAAGAACTGCGGAGGAATAGCGTGGAAGGTGGTTTGAGGTGGAGTTGAGTGGGTTGGAGAATGGAGAGGAGGAGCTGGAGAGTGTGATCGGGGAGTGGATAAGGCAACGAGTAGGGGATCAGGAAACAATGCCAGAAGCCCCAGCAGGGACAGCTCGTTCGCTCGTTCTGAGACCGCCCCCTGCGACAGGCGGCATGCCCGGCGCCCCTGGCATGCCCGGCATGGCGCCAGGCGGCATCCCCGGCGCTCCCGGCATGCCAGGAGCATGGTTGCAAGGAAACCCGTAAGCGGCCCCGGTGGGTGGACCCTTGGCCTCGCGCCCCCCAGGACGCCCGCTGCGGGCGCCCGCTGCCACCTTCCATTTCCCCCTCCCCCCCAGACGTCCGATGCAAGTTCTTCTTCGTGACGTCGGCCCTCGGTCCCCTCGACCCTACCTCGGGGACAAGTTGTTCATCCCGGGTCTGTTTAGGTTGACGCCAGGGCCCGAAGCGGGTCTCGAGTTGGGCCCCAGTTGAGGAAATTTTGGCCACCATGGTTTTTTTTGTTTCCCTCGGCGCTGGATGTTTTTGCCCCTGTGCCTCACCCCGCTGTCCAGGGAGAGAATTCCCTCTGGGTTCCGATTGCCGCCAAGGCATGCAGCCAGGCGGGATGCCCGGCATTGCGGGCGCTCAGGCAGCACAGCAGGCGCAGATAAGGACCGCTTCCCTCCCAGGAGTCGAGGGAATGGCTGGGCGAGGAGGCGGAGGCGGAGGAGGCGGGGAATGAGTTTCATGAGGAACGCTGCTGCCGCTGACGCTGCTGCTGGTTCCTACGCGATCCTATGTTCTCGCTGCACTCCTCCGCGTATCTGGACAGTGCACTGAACCAAGTAATGTCGTGGTTGCTACTCTAGACTCCTCCCTCCTCCGAATCTGATTGATTGGGTCGCCAGCTGGCCTTGTCTAGCCTTGCAGAGTCTTCGTCTGCAGTCGTGCTGGCGTCCATGGGAGGAGGAGCGTTTTGGATACGCTCTGGCCATGCCCGGGGGGCCGTGCTACACCCAAACGGCGTACGCGCACCCCTGGGCAGGCGCCGAAGCCCCTACCCAGGCACGCACACGCGCCGACACGGGTTTCACAACGTACACCCGACGGGCCCCCTCACTGATCAGTCCCCGCCAGCGGCTGGTGCGCTGTGGGCCCCGTCGGGCACAGCTCTTGGCAGGCGGCGGGCGGCGTCACAGGTTCGCATCCCCATCGCACGAAGGGCACTCCTGGGGACACCTTCACGCGGGGGGAGCAGTCCTTTTCAGATTCTCGAGAAAGTCTCGGTTCCCTTCCTCGTCCGAGGAGGGCACTTCTCCACGAGGTGCCTGGGGTCCTCCGTGGTGAATGGGCCACATCTCCAGCAGAAGGTCACGCAACATTCTGGCCAGAATGCGAGCACGTGTGAATCATGAAGGAGAACCTCGCCGCTCCGAGCGGCCGAGCCAGGTGGCGGGCGGGGCTCGCCCCAACTGGCCGCCTCAGCCGGGCTTCTTGCTGGCGGCGGGCCCGTGCACGGCGTGGCACTGCAACTCAGCAGGTGACGTCCAGGCACGAGCTTGTGGCTGAGGCTGCAGCGCCATCTGCTGCCGCACTTCGCCATCGCGCGAGCCGAAAACTGCAGGGCTAGGGCAGCAGGCGTTCGCAGAGGGCGCCTGACGAAAACTGAACGCACTCCTCTCTCGCTGTCGGCCTCTGTCGCCCGCTCGAGCGCCTTGCGCGCACGGCGGCGAACGAGGGCAGCGATCACATCAACCTCGTCTATGCCTCGCCCATCATCCCGACCACCCGACCCAGCTCAGCCACCTCCCCCGCCCACACATCGGCAACCTCGCTGCCCAACGCGAGAAAGAGGAAGCTCTCAGTGACGAGCAGGTGGGCACGCTCGCCAGCGTGCGACGCCACCCACTCGACCAGCGCTGCCCCCTCGCCTCTGCTGGCCGTGGCCGCGCGGCCCCGCTGCCAGAGGCCCTCGTTCCCAGGACGACGAGGGCTGGGGCCTGCGAGGTGCCGACGCCAAACTCGAAGACGTGGCTCGTGATCGGCGACGGTATCGCACGGTGCCCGAGGGGGAGGAGGGGGAGCAGGGGGATGAGGAGGAGGGGGGGAGGAGGGGAGGAGGAGGAGGAGGAGGAGGAGGAGGAGGAGAGGAGGAGGAGGAGGAGGAGGAGGAGGAGGAGGAGGAGGAGGAGGAGGAGGAGGAGGAGCTCGAGGTCGACCCCAGGGCCAACACACAAGAGCGATAATCTCGGCCCGCGGCAGGGCCGGCGGGCGCCTGGCACGTCCCGCAGCGGTCTGCCACTCGCCGCCTCCTCCTCCTCCTCCTCCTCCTCCTCCTCCTCCTCATCCTCCTCCTCCTCCTCTCCTCCTCCTCCTCCTCCTCCTCCTCCTCCTCCTCCTCCTCCTCCCCCTCCCCCTCCTCCTCCCCTCCTCTCCTCCTCCTCCTCCTCCTCCTCCCTCCTCCTCCTCCTCCTCCTCCTCCCTCCTCCCCCTCCTCCTCCCCTCCTCCTCCTCCTCCTCCTCCTCCCTCCTCCTCCTCCTCCCTCCTCCTCCTCCTCCTCCTCCTCCTCCTCCTCCTCCTGCCCAGGGACCGCGCTCCAGCACGGCTATGGTCTGGGCCTCCTGGTGGGGTCGGAGGATCGCGCCGCATCGCCGACTGCATCGCCGATGCGGCTCGACGTGGAGCCCGATGTCCTTCACGTCGACGTCGCCGGTGCATCGCCCACGTCGACGGCGCATCGCCAGTGCGTCGCCGATGCATCGCCGATGCATCGGCGATGCAGCGCGCTCCTCCGACCCCATCTGCTCCGACCCCATCTGGGAGGCCTCTATGTGGCTGTCCCGCATCGGCGTCGCCTCGGGTCAGACGAGTACCTTTCCCCCGACCCGTCCCCGAAAGCCGTCACCACCCCCTCCTCGCCGCGATAGGCGTCCAGAGGAGCTCCGAACACAGGCCGGGCGAGAGCGATGCGCTCCTCGTCAAGCTGCGGCGTGGCAAGTGCAGCGGGCGGCACGCCGCGTGGCCGCGAGGACGGCTCGGCGTGGCAGCTGGCCGGCGCTCGCGGCACCGGGGCAGCCGACTTGGCGAACGCATCATCGCCTTCCTCGTCATCGTCACGCTGCCAGCTTCGATGGACGTCGGAGGCCTAGAGGTTGACGCCGACACCCGTATCGGCGGTGTGCCTCCGCCGAGGGAGGAGGATCCCGATCTCGGTGATGGTGGTCATATTCTGGCTTCAGGGCGACCGACATACTGCCACCGACACCGACATCTGGGAGCATCGTCCCCTCGTGGAGGCAGCCCCCTGTGTTGGTGTTGGCGCCCACTTCCAGGCCTCCGAGGACGAGGTCCGCAGGCTGGCGCCCGCGGCGCCTGCGCACGCCATCGCTCGGGCCGGGAGCCCGCCCGGAGGCGACGCTCGCGGGGCCATTGCCCGCCCTTCGACCACTGCCAGGGTCAGCCCCCCCCAGGCGGACCAGTCTCGGGAGGGGAAAAACGCACACAGGCACAATTCAAGCGTCGACTCCCCGGAGAGTATGGGAAGATATTCGGGGGCGGGAAAGAGGGGGGTGATGACTAGGGGGGGGGGTCGGATATCATGGCGGGGGTCATGATATGTCCGCAGATTTCATGGCGCCTCTTCTTATTTCATTACGTCCCTGGCCCCCCCGCTGGGCCGCGCACATGCCGCCGGTCATGATTTGCACCCCAACTCTTGGACACCCCCCTCTTGGCCGCTCCCGAGATATGGGAAGTGGGGGGGGAAGACAAACAAAAACAGAAAACATAGGAAAATATGGGGAGTCCTGTTATTTGAGTGTATTTATTTGTGTGTTCCAGGGCCCCTTCACAGTCGCCCTCCTGCTTGAATCGCCTGAGCTCGTTGCAGATCCGCCAGAAAAATCGGCGCCGCCATGCAAGCCCTCGCCGGCTTCGTGATCGGCGGCGGCGCACGAAGGGCAGCGGCGACGTCCAGCAGGACCTGCTGCGTGCAGGAGGCGTCGCCCTCGTCGCTGGCCAAAGGCAGCGTCCACTGTCGCAGCCCAGCGCCGTCGGGCGATGCCAACGGATGGCCGCGACGGGGTCCCAGCCCAAGTCCAGCAGCGCCGCTTGGACCGCGCCGATCGGGCCGCGCACTCTCCGCCGACGATGGCCACCTGCCCGCGCAAGTGCGCGACGAACGCAAGGCCGCGCTCGCTGCACTCGACCGTGGATGGACGGCTCCGTCATCCACAGCGTGCACCACGCATCCATCACCTGCCGCCTCAGCTCCACGTGCAAGTCGCGCAATCCCATGGTCGCCGCCAGCATGGACGTGAGGCAGTGCCCGCGCCCGGCACCACCGATTGCCTGGCTGGCCTGGCGCCGCAGCTTGGCGATGTTGCTGGGCGCCGGGCCGAAAACCCGATGGCCGTAGGCTGACTGCGGCAGAGCCCCCGTGTTCCACAGCCTTCGGGACTCCTTGACGAGCGCCGACTGCTTGCGCATCCGCAAGGCGCGGCGGAAGCGGCGCTCGCCAGCCGCCACGCGTGCCCCCGACCTGCTGCAGACCCTCCTGCGCCCCGCCGCCGCGCCGACGCCGAGGTCCACCGCCTCCCGCGCCGGCCGGCACGGGATCGCCGCCCGGCGCAGCGCCGCCACGACCTCTGCGCAGGGTGCCCTCCGTGGCCAGGGTTGTTGGTCCTGCTCGTCGAGCCCTGCTCGAGCATCGGGCCGGACGAAAGGGGGGGATTGGGAAAGGGGGGTTACGAAATTTGCTGCATGCAGCTGGTTTCGGCCCCACCGAGGGACCCATTCCTCGATACATAGCTCCCTCCAGCGCATGTAGGCGCCGGGAAAATCAGCTACGCGCGCTGATTCTCAAACCCCCCCTTTGCTATCCCCCCCTTTCGCCCGGCCCGAGCTGCAGACCCTCCTGCGCCCCGCCGCCGCGCCGACGCCGAGGTCCACCGCCTCCTGCGCCAGCCGGCACGGGACCGCCGCCCGGCGCAGCGCCGCCACGATCTCTGCGCAGGGAGCCCTCCGTGGCCAGGGTTTTTTGGTCCTGCTCGTCGAGGCCCTGCTCGAGCATCGGGCCGGACGAAAGGGGGGGATTGGGAAAGGGGGGTTACGAAATTTGCTGCATGCAGCTGGTTTCGGCCCCACCGAGGGACCCATTCCTCGATACATAGCTCCCTCCAGCGCAGGGAGGCGCCGGGAAAATCAGCTACGCGAGCTGATTCTCAAACCCCCCCTTTGCCATCCCCCCCTTTCGCCCGGCCCGAGCTGCAGACCCTCCTGCGCCCCGCCGCCGCGCCGACGCCGAGGTCCACCGCCTCCCGCGCCGGCCGGCACGGGACCGCCGCCCGGCGCAGCGCCGCCACGACCTCTGCGCAGGGAGCCTTCCGTGGCCAGGACTTTGAGGAGCCTTCGGCTCGACCGGCCGTGGTCGTCGGTGCTGCACAGCCCCGCCCTCGGCAGCGGGGCGTGCGCCCTGGCGAGGATGGGGTGGAGATACAGGGGGAGGAGGAGGAGGAGGAGGAGGAGGAGGAGGAGGAGTGGAGGAGGAGGAGGAGAGGAGGAGGAGGAGGACGAGGACGAGGAGGAGGGGAGGAGGAGGAGGAGGAGGAGGAGGAGGTGGAGGAGGGAGGAGGAGGAGGAGGAGGAGGAGGAGGAGGAGGAGGAGTAAGACGAGACATATGATCACGAAGCAGAGGGCTGTGCTGCATGGGCTCGCTCTGCGCCTGGGGGCGGCGAGGAACACGAGCTACGACCCCTTCGCGGGCTGCTGAGGCGGCTGCTGCTGGAGCGGTTGCTGCCCGCTGCGCCCGACGTTCCGCCCCGCATTCGGCTCCCCGCGCTTCCCTCCTCCCCTCTCTCGCCTTCCCTCCCCTCCCCTCCCGCTTTGTCGCCTCCCCCACTCCTGTTTCTGAGGCTTCTGGCGGCTTTCGGCTTCCTGGAAGTTCTTTCCGACAGGATGGTTTGTCGATTCGACGAGACCCATTTGTCCACGAGCAGGCCTTTATGGATGGGTGAAAAGGGGCGTGTCCGTGCTTTCTCACTTGAGGTCTATGGCTGCGTTCGCCTTCAAGGCAGAGCACCCCTCCCCAAGTCCTCCAAGGTTTCATTGGCCCTGCCGTTTTGGGAAGCATCATCAAGGTCGGCCCCGCTGCGCAAAATAACAGTGGAGGAGGACACGATACCAGCCAATGGGCATCCTTCTCCTCAACCTCAATCTCCTCCTTGATGATGATGATGCTGATGATGATGATGATGACGATGATGATGATGAGGATGCTGATGCTGATGCTGATGGCGATGATGATGATGAGGATGATGATGATGAGGATGCTGATGCTGATGATGATGTTGATGTTGATGATGGTGATGCTGAGGATTATGATGCTCATGATGATGATGCTGATGCTGCTGATGATGATGATACTGATGATGCTGATGATGCGGCTGCTGATGATGATGTTGATGTTGATGCGGCTGCTGATGATGATGCTCATCATGACGCAGATTATGCCAATGCTGATGATGCTTGGGATGCTGATGATGATGATGCTGATGATGCTGCTGCTGATGATGATATGGATGCTGTTGATGATGCTGCTGATGATGGTGGTGGTCATGATGATGACGCTGTTGCTGATGATGATGCTGCTGATGGTATTGATGATGAGGAGGCTGCTGCTGATGATGCTGATGATGTTGATGCTGCTGATGATGGTGATGCTGATGATTATGATGTTGCTGATGGCGCCGAGTATGTTGATGCTGATGTCGACGATAATACTGCTGCTGCTGATGATGATGATGATCGATGATGATGTCGATGATTAGGATGCTGATGCTGCTGCTGATGATGATGATGGTGATACTGATGATGAGAATGCTGATGCTGGTGTTGATGCTGCTGCTGATGATGGTGGTGGTGGTGGTGGCGATGATGATGATGGTGCGGCTGATGATGATGATGATGATGATGATGATGATGATGATGATTATGATGATGAAGATGATGAGGATGCTGATGATGATGAGGATGCTGATGATGATGCCGATGCTGATGGTGCTGCTGCTGATGATGATGCTGATGCTGATGCTGATGTCGATGCTGCTGATGCTGACGTTGGTGATGCTGATGTTGATGTTGTTGTTGTTGATGATGATGATGATGATGATGATGATGATGATGATGATGATGATGATGTTGATGCTGCTGATGATGATGTTGATGATGCTGATGCTGATGATGATGCCGATGATGCTGATGCTGCTGCTGATGATGCTGATGATGCTGACGCTGATGCTGCTGCTGCTGCTGATGATGCAACGGTTGATGATGCTGCTGCTGCTGCTGATGATGATGATGATGATGATGATGATTATGATGATGATGATGATGATGCTGCTGCTGCTGCTGATGATGATGCTGAAGGAGGAGGAGGAGGTTGATGTTAAGGTGGAGGATGGCGAGGAAGAGGAGGAGGAGGAGGAGGAGGAGGAGAGGAGGAGGAGGAGGGAGGAGGAGGAGGAGGGAGGAGGAGGAGGAGGAGAGGAGGAGGAGGAGGAGGAGGAGGAGGAGGAGGAGGAGGAGGAGGAGGAGGAGGAGGACGACGAGGGGATGGACTGGGAGCGAGGAGCCAGCATCGATGAGGGATGGAGGAATCTTGTGGGAGGGAGGGGAGACCTTGCCCCCGGGCAAAAAGCGCCGCGGCTCCTCCGCCCCGACCACCTCACCCCCTGCACGGCGCACTCCGCTGCAGCCCCACCCCTCCCCTCCCCGGCCCCGCCCCACGTACAGTGCCATTCTTAATACAGGCTCCGCGTGCGGATCATGTATCAAAGATGCAGGGATTTAGTATGAAAAACAACGATGAGTTCATGCATGCATTTATCTATTCATACATTAACCATGTCTTAAACATCCCATATTTTAAACATCCCATGTATTAAAAACGGCCCTGCACCCACGGGCCGTTGCTGCCAGGTATTGTTGGGGTCCCGTATCCCAACATCGTCTAGACGCTTCGCGTGACCCCACCACAGCCGTTGCGCCTTTCTCCTCCTGTGCGCTAATTTTTGGCCGTTGCATTGACGCTCCGTTCTGACGGCGCCCAGCGTCTTCCGGTGCGCTTGCGATCAAAACAAAGTGACCCCACCAGCCCTTTCAGAAACTTTGCCCCTTGCCCAGACGAGCTGCCCTGATCAGGGAAATGGATGCGCATGCGGTGGAGTAAAGGGCTGAGTAAGACGTCGTACCCCGAGAGGGGCAGGATGGAGAAGGAATCGGCGGAGGAGCAGGAGGAGGAGGAGGAGGAGGAGGAGGAGGAGGAGGGAGAAGGGGAAGGGGGGAGGGAGGAGGAGGGAGGAGGAACAGGCAGATGAGGAAGATGAGGAGGAGCAGGAGGAGGAGGAGCAGGAGTAGGAGGAGGATGAGGAGGAGGAGGAGCAGGAGGAGGAGGAGGAGGAGGAGGAGGAGGAGGTCGAGCAGAAATGCCAGAGGCCTCTTGGATGCCTCTCAGAGTCTCTTCGGATTTCTTTCGAGAGCTTCTTGGAGTCCTCTTGCGGCGTCTCGGGGTTTTCTTGGCAGTCCTGGGGTTCTCTTGAGACGTCTTGGGTGCCTCTAGGGGGCCTCTTGGGGACTCTTGGGGGTCTCTTGGGAGCCTCTTGGTGGCATCTTGGGGGCATCTTGGGGCCTTCTTTTGGGACCTCTTGGGGCCTCCTGGTCACTTCTTGGGGCCCTCTTGGGGCACCCGAGCCTCGGGGGCCATCTTGGGGCTATCTTGAAGGAGATCGATCAAGGGAGGGGGGCGACTTCGAGAGAGTCCCCCCCTAGGAGGTCAACATATGGCTAACACTATAGTCAAAGCAATGATTCGGTGGCCTCGCCAATGCCTCTTGAGGAGCTCGGGGCGTCTCGAGAGTCTCTTGGGAGCCTCTTGGGGGCCTCTCAAGGGCCTCTTGGGGGCCTCTTGGGCTCTTTGGGCCCTCTAGGGGCACCCTTATTGGCCTCGCGGGCCATCTTTGGGCCATCTTGGAGGAGAGCGATCAACGAAGGGGGGCTCCTTAATCCCCCCCCCCCCCAGGAGGCCAACATGTGGCCAACACCTTAGTCACATCAGTGATTTTGGCCTTCCTCGCCGAGGCCCCTTGGGGCGTCGTGGGTGCCTCTGGGGGGCCTCTTGGGGCCTCTTGGGGGTATCTTGGGAGCCTCTTGGGGGCATCTTGGGGGCATTTTGGTGCCCTGGGCATTTCTTGAGGCCCTCTTGGGGCACCCACGAGAGCATCGGGAGCCATCTCGGGGCCCATTTGAAGGACGATGGATCAAAGGACGGGCCGTGCGCAAGTAGGGTCCCCCCCCTCAGGGGCCAACATGTGGCCAACACCTTAGTCAGTGACATTATTGATTTTGGCCTCCTCGTCGAGGGCATCTCGGACGCTCTTACTGCCCGCGAGGCGCCCCGTCCAGGTCCAGTGGCAGGGGGTAGGGGGAGGGGTCCAGCCACCCTCCCCGGCCGCAAGCGGTGTCGCTCACTCCCACCCGCCGCCCCAAACAATCATAGGTAGCACCCGAGCCTCAGCATGTTCAGCGGTCGCCTATGGATGGACAGCTACCGGAAACGCCCAATTCTCCGACTGCGGCTCCGACGCCCCTCCCCATCTCTCCCACTCCGGCTGACCCCGGCTCCCAATGCCTTGTTCCAGCTTCTGAGCGGTCAGCCCATGCCGGCGCCCCGGCCCCCTCCCGCAACGCCCGCGTAGGTGCCTCGACGCGGGCTCTGTCTGTCTGTCTGTCTGTTCGGAGCGAGTTGCGTCACTCAGGAGAGGAAAAAACACACAGACACAATTAATCTTCGATCCCCCAGAAAATATGGGAAAAGATGGGAAGTGGGGGGGAAGACAGAAATCCAAATAATATGGGAAAATATGGGGAATACTCTCATTTGTGTGTATTTATTTGTGTGTCCCAGGGCCCCTTTCGTCACGCGTGCCAGGCGGGCCACGCGCGCCAGGTGCGCGCCAGGTGCGCCGGGAATCCTCGGGGCCCGAGCGTGCTGGGCACGCCTGGCGCGCCAGGTGCGCCGCGTGCTCCACGTGCGCCCTGCGGGCCGCAGGGTCCAGCCGCGCCAGGTGCGCCTCTGTTCAGGAGGGGGAAAACACGCAGACACAATCCATCGCCGATTCTCAGGAAGATATGCAAAAATATGGGAAGTGGGGGGGAAGACAATAACCCCCCAAATATACGAGAATACCGGGAATCTTCTTATGTGTGTGTATTTATTTGTGTGTCCTGGGGCCCCTTCATCTGTGTGTGAACAACATGGAAGGGACGGTGCCAGGTGCACCCGCGCACGTGACAGCACACATCGTGAGACGTGTTGGCCCCCACCATCCTTGTCGAAAGCCAACGCGCAGTCGCGGCGAGCAGGCCATCATGGTGTCGGCTGGGTGTGCACACGGCAGGAAGTGTGTTAGCACCCCCGCCGTCTTTATTTCAACTCATGGACAGTGATTGTGGGGCTGCCGCGCGTGATCCAGATTTGGCCGCGATTGCATATTGCATGGTTTTTTTCAGAGGGGTGGTGGCCTTGCGCACAGCAGGCGATCTGACCCCCCCGCCATCCTTGGCAATTAACAGTGCGCAATGTCGCGGGACGAATGGACGAATGGTTATGACCAGTGATTTTGCCCCAACGTTCCCCAGACAGTGCTTGCACTTAGGGGTTCTTTCTTGACTCAACCATCTCGGGGTGAGTGGCGGTTTCTGCGGCCGGTGCCGCCCGAGGCCGCCGTCGCCGTCGCCGTCGCCGTCGCCGTCGCCGCCGCTCGGGGCGAGTGGCGGCTTTTTCCGGGCGGTGCCGCCCGCTGCCGCCATCGCCGTCGCCGCCGCCGTC